AGCTGAAATCCAGAGACATTAATTCAGGGACATTGTTAAAGAAGAATGTCAAAAGATAACTGCTGAAGCGAAAAGAAAGAAAAACCATAGATCGATGATAAACATTCACTAAGGACAGGTGAAAAAAAGCCAACGGTGGCAGAAGTAGAGTCAGAATGCCGAACGCAGTTAAAAGAACTAGCACAATGACTAGCACATAGAAATAAACTAGAACACAAAAGAGAAAAGGGAAAGTCCTGTTCCAGAACATTCAAGAAATGAAAGGGAAATTCACCTAGATTAATAATGCTTAAAGAGGGGAACATACTATCTGATCAGGAGAAAATAAAGCAAAGATGAAAACAATATATGGAAGAACAATAAAGAAGAGCTGTGAAGATGACAAATTCCTTCACAGAGGAATCCAAAAGGAGATGATGATGACATTAATAGGAGGTCATAAAACACAGCAATGACAGCAAGGCAAGGAATATTTTTTCCCTAAAAATTTCTGCTCCAGTATGGAACTATCTTGGTTCCAGTTGCCTGTTCTTTTCCATGACTGCAATAAAATGATTTACAGAAAAATCCATGCCATACAAAGTTGAGTGATATAAACCAGACAACTAAAACACCCACTTGCTTCTTCTACATACTTTAAGTACGGTAGCTGCCAGATGATTTTGTGAGAAAGTGAGGGCATTCTTGTATTGTTGAATTTAGATCTTCAGAGGGGCTTGTACTGAGAGTTATGCAGAACGGTCTAGGGTGAATAAATTCAGAGTACCAAACATTTTCTGCTCTCTTGACATTTGATATTTATGCTGTACTGTGAATTGTTCACTGAAATATATGGCTTTTCACCACTAGGGGACATTGAAGATTCATCTTCAAAAAGTTCTTTTTAAAATAAAAAAAAATCATTTTAAAACTATTTACTGAAATTGTAAACTTGTATCATAGGTTCATACACCAATGTTGCCTGCCAACTATAGCAAATGTGTATTTAATATTTAAAATGTGTTTCCTTTGGCTATCAAGTATAATGTACGGCTCTGAGAAGTCTCAGTTTATTTCAGTGAGATCATGTTAAAGATCTACAAGCCAAAAAGAAGCTGGATCTTCAGGATTAGCTTGTGACTTCTTATTCTCTGTGACTGCCAATGTCCGTCCAAAACAGCTGGCCTAGACATATAGCATGGCATTTGTTAGAGGAAAAAATATTGACCTTTAATCTGGAAGCAACTGCTCCAATGACTTGAGAATGTCAAGAGGTTGGTGACATAATCAGGGGCAAATCTGGGTCCCTTTCATTCTTCTGATGGGATGGCAAGGATAGTTTAATGAGGGATACTCACAGACCAGGCCTCAGAACTTAGTGGACTATATATTTTAGTTTAGGGGTCATTCTATTGATCTTGTAGTAGATTTGTAAAATAATAAGTGACCTTGGTCACACCTGAGTATTTCTTGCACTGTACTGGCAAAGGATATTTCTTTTTTTCCACATTATTACCCTTGTAAAGTGCTAACACAAGACACATAGGTAGTGAATAAAATACTTAACCTGAGCTGCCTTTGTTCAGATACTTTTTTAATGGTACTGTGAAATGCTTGAAGATAAAATAATTGTATTTGGCTTGATTTTAGTTGTCTGAATGTTCAAATGTGAAGCTGGAGTTCAATATATTTGGAGGCTCAGTATTGTCCATTTATTTTGATCAGTCCAGCTGATATCCTCTGTAGAGACCAAGAAAGGGTGGGTAAATGTGTGTGTTGGACCGCCCCCCCCCCCGAAAGATGCCAGATAGTCTGAAATAGTTATTCAAGTTGCTACCTTATCCACTTACCTGGGAGTAAGTAAGTAATACAAGGGAGAAATACAGTGGAGTTATTTCTGAGTAAATATGCATACAAGCACACTGTTTTATAAGAGGAGGAGGAGGAAAAGGGAAAAAGCAAATGCTAGACCACACCTTTGTAGGAATCTTGAATATTCAATATCCATTCTGGATGGAGAGATAAATATATATTACAGCTGCTGTGGAAAAGAGTCCACAAGCCTCAGTGCAAAATAGGAGATAAAAGAGAAAACAGCAAACTGACAATCCATGAATGAAGACAAAATGGATATAAGTAAGGACTTACACTTGGAATTCAAACTTTAGTGTGATAGCTCTAGAACCCTTTCACACTATTTAACTTCACAAGTACACTAGAGCCTGGCTTGAGAAGAAGTTTCTTCAGTTCAGCATCCAGTTGCCACAGTAGCCAATCAGATACCTGTGGGAAGCACTCTTGCTTGTGTTCTCCAGCAACAAGTACTGAGAGGCGCATATACACATGCAGAGAGAGATAGAGCCTGCACCAGTATGACTAGCAACCATTGATTGTATCTTCCATAAATTTGTCTTCCTGTTTTCCACAGTCCACTGAAAATTTATTCAAGATAGGAATTATGAAATTGCAAAAATTTAAATAACCAGATTTTTAGCCATGCACATCTTCATATACCCACAAACAAAGGATAATGCTCATATTGAAAATAAAATCCCTCAAGCAAAATTTTCAAGCTGATAATGTAGTGTAGGGGAATTAACTCTAGATTTATAATTAATAGCATATTTATTGATAATATCTTTTTGTACTTATCTTTTAAATCTCAACTATATCTGAGGTAAAAGTGCTCCTTGGCATACAACATTAGTACCATGGAGAGAAATGGAATCTCTTTAACATCTTTGAAATTCTGCCTTAGGACAGAAATGGGAAACATGTGACCTGCAATTCCTATTACCACTTACCATTGTCTCTGCTGGCTAAAGCTCATGAAATTGTAAAGCTGGCAACATATGAGGGCTACATGTTCCCCACCCAAGACCTGGGGAAATGCACACACAGTGTTGCTTTTTTTCTGGATCAGTAAATCTAGAGTTACTAAATGTTGTACCTTTGGTATTTAAATTTCTCCACATCTCTTCTTATTTCTTTCCTACTGGAGGTTGGACATCATCATGGCTGAACTGACTTTAAACATGGCTGTTTTAAACAATAACAGGGTATTGCCCCCTTTAAGGTTTATCTGCCAAGACATTCTTCTGACACTTCTTTTCCCATTTAGTTTACCAGTCTGTATTTTTCATTTTTCATAAGATGAAAATATTCCTGTTTTCTGCATTTTATGCCTTTTATAATGTCATGATCTTTATAGATAAGATCATAAGAAGAGTCATGCTGAATCCAATCAAGGGTTCATCTGGTCCAGCATTTTGTTCATAGTAGCCAATCAAGGGATCCCACAGACAGGGTATGAGTGCAACACCACTTTCCTGCCCAAGTTCTCCAGCAAATGGTGCATATAGGTGTATATTCTTTTAAATACTTTTTCACTTGTCATTCTCTTGGTCCATGAAATTTGTAACATCTGTGATAAATCAACATTTCAAATGTGTCTGTGTTTTGTATGGTACTCCATATTCAAAGTCCATGATTCCCTCTCATGCAATAAAATGTTTACTACTGCTCAGCCTTAATTCTAATTGTATCTATTAAAAAGGCAGTAAAATAAATGTTCTGTTTAATACATAACCTGAGATGTAGTGGTTAGAGTTTTGGAATGGGACTTAGGAGTTCCAGGTTGAGTCCCCATTTGGCCATGAAGTTCACCAGGTGGCTCTGGGCCAATCACTCAGCCTAACATACCTCACTGGATTGTTGTGTGGCTAAAGTGGAGGAGGAGAGGTTAGTGTAAACAGTCTTGGATTCCTTGCAGGAAAAAGGGTGGGGTATAAATCAAACGAACACATTTGTCCACAGGGATGGAACATAATATTCATGGCAGCTTTCTGTCCACACAGTGGCCAACCACCTGCTCACAGGAAACCCACAAACATCCTCCCAAACATGTTCCCCAGCAACTGGTGTACATAGGCACAACCTCTTATACTAGAGTTAGCACATAGACATCAGGAGTAACAACCATTATGTTCTCCAGCATGATTTTTTTCGTTCCCTTTTTAAAGCCATCCGAAGTGGAGGCCATCACTACATCTCGTGGAAACGAATTCCACAGTTTATGCACTGCATGGAGGAAAACTTCCTTTCCTCTTCCCTGTGTCCTGTGCCATGCTGGCTTACATTCATTTGAAGCACAGCACTTACGTTGTTCGCCTAGTGTGGGTTGGAGAAAGTAGGCTTGCCAGGCAAGCTTAGACAGGTAAGAATTCTGCACAATGTTTGTAATCGTCGCCAAGGCAGCCTGGGGCTTTCCAGATGCATCACAATAGGGCCTGTCTTGGGGGGTCAGAATAATATTTTCTCCTCCGTTATCTGCGATCAAACTATTCTGCTTGCATGTGCATACAACTTGGTTGCTACCCAGCGGACTCGACCACCAAAGCAGTGCCTGCAGCTGCCAAAGCTACCGCAGTAACTGGATTGAGAGAGCCATTTTTGGAGACGCGCAAGGCCGTTTTCAAATTCCGACGGAGAACCGGGGTTGGAAAAAATGCTCACAAGCGTCGGCAGACCAGCTGAAGGCAATCTTGCGCCCTCGACAGGCTGAAAGCCAAGGCAAGCTTTGAGGGACGAGAATCCCCAGAAAGGCGCTTCTTCTGGTTTAACACAAGTGGCCGCTTCCGCGCGCCGTCCCTCGGTTAATGTCAGTCTGGTCCGCCAAACCGAGAACAATCTCTCCGCCGCCCAGAAAACGCCAAAGCAAGTGCGTTAGGTTTGTGGAGCTAGGAAAGCTGGCTCCCCTCTTCGGGCATTGTCTTGCAGCAGCTCCATAGCAACCAAGCCTCTCTGTGAGACCGCGCAAAACCAAGACAAGCGCCAACTCGCAGCAAATCATTCTTGCGCGCGCGCCCCAAGCACTGGGGTAGGTGCGCCGCGCACGCTCTCTTGTCCGGGCCTCTGTCTTGCTTTTTTCCGGACTGCCCCGAGGAACAATGAGGCTTTAAGTCAGTTCTCGTGGGTGGGGGTTTGGAGGCGATCACGGTCTGCGTGCGCGCATCTTCGCCATGCGAGAGAAGAAGCTCACCACTGGTATGTACTGGAACGAAGACTGCCGACGGCGAAACGGAATTGGACGTTTTCCGCTCCTCATCTGGATGGGGGAGGGAGAGATGCGGAAAGCTTACCACCCCTTCAAAACCCCACCGTTCGCATTAACGGCAGGACAAGCATTTTAGAGTGGAAGGCGTCACGTGTGAACGCTGCCAGTGCAGGAGAGAAAAGGGGAAAGAGAGACAGTTTTCACCAGCAGTGCGCGCTCCAGTTTTTGCATTTGCCACGTCTTTAATTCCGATGTAAAATGTACATTGACACTAATGTAGAGTTGCTTTTATATTGCCTCTTTCTCTCTTTTCCCTTCTGTTCCTCATTGGCCATATTCACACATGTATGCAGATTGGGCAAGAGGCGGCAAAGTAATTTAGACTTCAACGCTAAACTTTTACCTGGGAGTAAGCACCATCGGACTCAATGTAACCTACTTCCAAGGAGACATGTCGAGGATTGTACTCTGAGAGACAAAGTTACAAGACTCTTTCTTTGAGTAGTTGGTTGATTCCTGGGTGATTTCCAGTTATGTGGGGAATTAGAAAAAAAAAAAGTTTTGTTTGTGAAAAAACAAACAGCCAGCCAGCATGAGATGTTTTAACTTGTCTCAGCACCTATCACATACCTTGTGCTAATACACAATTAGGAGTAGTAGAAGTATAGTAAATTGGTGAGATTTGGCATGTCTGATTCATAGGGGTTGGGCTCAACCTACAGAAGAATCAAGCCATAGAAAATGTGAAGGGAGAATAAAGCAGAGAGCTCTGGGAGTAGGGTTCACAATGTAACATAAGCAACTCCAAGACTGCCTTGTCTGTTGCCGAAATAGAAAGTGAACACTACTTAATTTGTTGTGGTATAATAAGACCTGAACATACTTCATCAGTTACATGAGGCATTATCCTCACTGAACTAATAAGTAAGTTGCCTCCAGATAAGGCTTTTATGCCACTTCTGCCCTGCTTCATTCATGAAATTCTGCAAGGGGTTCAGGCATTGGCATCTCAATATTTTTTCCATTGTGGCTTCCATCATTCTCTTTCCAGCAGAAATCCAACAGCACTCCAACTATTCTCTCAACATGCATAGGATTATACCCTAAAAGCAGGGAGGGTAGAGATGGAATTATTGCACAGTGTCTTATGAGTAGTAACACTAGCAGCCCTCCAACTGGAGGTACCCATCATTCCAGAAACCACATAAAACTTTTGATTGTTTTTTGGGAAAGGGGGCAGAATGAAGTCCAGGTTGGCTAGAAGGCCCTCACCTCTCACAGAATCATAAAGTTGGAAGAAGCCAAGAAAGCCCTGCTATTGCAGGACATCAAGGTATACTGTCCCACTCAGATGACTGTTCAGTTGCATCTTTTAGTAATTATAAACTCTCCAAAAATAGAGTGCATGCATGATATGAAGATGAGATCCATGCAATGTATCTTGGGAGAGGAGTTTACTCCCCTGGGGAACTTTCAAACAGAGGGCTGCTAGCACTACTAATCATAAACTATTTTGTCATCATGCAGCTATTCTGACTTCATCCTATTTAAGTTTTCTGCAGAAAGAAAAATGAGGGAAGAACGGGGTAAATGTGGGAGGATCATTATAAGTAGGAAAACTTTAGTGCTGCATCTCCATAATATTTTGTGAATGATGCAGGATAATGACATGATAAGAGCTTAATCTGGAAGTACCCATATTCCAGAAGTTAATTATTATTGCTACTGTTACATTGTATCCCACCTCTTTTCCTTTAGTGAGGAGGCTGGTTTACATAGCCCTCTTTCTCTCCATTTTATCTTCACAACAATAACCTTATAAAGTAGGTTAAGCAGAGATCAGTGACTGACCCCAAGGCACTCAGTGAGCTTCAGAGCCACATGGGGACTTGCAACTGGATCTCCTGGGTCCCCTTCTTGTTTTTGTATAAGCATTGTTGGGTCCTTCTCACTTACAAACCCATTAATACTGCATTTTACTGTTTTGAGCTAGAAAGGTAGTGGAGCTGCCTTTCTGTGCAGGTCCATACAGTGAGGCCATGGAAGGGAAGGACTTTAAATTCAAATTTCCCAGATCCAACTTCAGATCTGCGTATCTGATGAATTAATTGATGCCCAGGAGTCCTTTTACCGTAGAGAACGTTTGTCAAAGAATTGAACCTAGGACCTATGGTAGGAATGAAGAAGCTCAGACCCAGGACCCTAATCCAGCCACCCATTTGGCCTCTGGGTTCCACAGATGTATGCATATCCTTCCCTTAGTCCAACCTGATTTCCTCCAACCACTGATTATTTGGTGGCTTTTATGCATTTCTTCCCATTATAAAACATTGAAATGCTTCTCCTGATGCTTAGTTATCTGTAGTAAGAGTTTTAAGCTAAAACGTAACTGGTATTTTGTAAACTGCTTTGAGAGCATTTTGCTAATCAAATGGTATAATAAATGCTATACATACATACAGTTTTTGAATAATATTGGCACAAGTCCTTTTACCTTCAGCCCTGCTCAAGAACTTCTCTGAATCTGGCCATTGGGCTGAAAGTGGCTCCTTAACTCTTCAAAATCTGTTGCACTTGAAATGAGGTTTATACAACAGATCTGAGCAGTGTATCTTCTTGAACCCCCTTGCCCCATGTTCATTCTGAAAAGGGCCAGTATGACAACTCAGCCTCTAAATTATTCATGCATCTCTCACAATTTCAGAGACAAATCCATTGTTTTCCTAAAGTTTCTTCCAGAAAACTATTTTTGTGTGTGTTACTAATAGCCTATTAGATTTTTTAAATTTTTCAATAAAATACAAATAGTAAGCATGCAAATAGTATGCTCCTCATATTTCCCCATTCCTTTGCTGTTAGGTTCTATCTGCTTCATAGCATCTTTATTTAAAGAGTCAAAGCTTAATGCACCATTAAGCAAAAATTGGGAAAACAAATAGTAGCATAGAAGGAAAAATAATAAAATAAGAGTTCAATGCCACGGATGGCTGCTTGCAAGCTCAAACTGGTTTTCTGTTGAATCATGTTACTCTGCATATGCTTCATTAAAACTTGCCAATTTATATTATTTTAGTAATTTGGTATTCTTGTTGTTATGTACTGTGAAGTTGCCTCTGACTTATGGTAACCCTATGAATTAATGTCCTCCAGAATGTCCAGTTCTTGACAGTTCTGCTTAGCTCTTGTATACTCAAGGCTTGGCTTCCTTTATGGAAGTAAGCCATCTAATAGTTGGTCTTCTCTTCTTCTGCCTTCAGCTTTCCAAAGCATTATTGTCTTTCCCAGTTAATCTTGCATTCTCATGATGTGCTCAAAGTACGACAGCTTTGGTTTCATCATTTTGCATCCAGAGAAAGTTCTGTCTTGATTTGATCTGTTTGTCTGTCAGCTCATGGTATTTGCACAACTCTGTCAGCTAATGCCAATAGACACTGAATCTAGCCGAATTAATTCAGTTTGTTTTGATTTGATTTTCTAGAAAACAATACCTTAAGACATCTATTTATATTTGTTGCTTAGCCCCACCACTTGTTTTGACGTCTGCATATTTTAAAAATAATTAATTATACAACAGTTTACTTTTAACAGCAGCTTCATTTACAGGAATCAAAAGATGAAGCTTTTTTGTGGCATGGAGCTAATAAGCACAATCAACATCAGTGCAACAAGCTCCTCTTGGGTACAGGAAAGGAACTAATTAACAAGTGGGTGAAGAATGCTGGGAATTGTAGGACCATTCTCTGCCTAACTATGTGCAAATTTGAGCTGTAAACCCTGAAAAGTGGTGTCAAACTTTGAATGGGATGACTTTCCTAAAAAAATTTGTCTCCCTACCTTCTTACTCTGTTTTAACAGACAAGTACTATAGTTTGTATCTTACAAAAATATGTTTTGGCATGTATTTTACTGTTCTGTTACCTTTTTAAAAAATTCTGTGAATGGGCTCTCTGTTTTAGCATCTTCATTAATCTCAGTATTTATACTGTGGTCCGTTATGTATTTTTATACTGTTACCAATCATTGTTTCCATGCTATTTACTAATGAAACTAAATAGAAAATACTTTGAATAACTTCAATTATCTTTGTGTTTCAGTGCCCCCTTGCATAAGAGAAAATGAGTTTGTAAGTAATTTTTCCCTGACATTTTTTCAGTGATACTAGATATGTTGACAGCAATGTATTTGGCATTTAATTTCTCCCTTCCTACCTCCCTTCATTTGGTTCTTGCCCACTCAATGGAAGCAAGAACAAAAATCTAAAATCTTATAGAGGCTTCTGAAACATAGACTATATAAGACAGAGACAAAAAAATAATCAATTAATTAAATTAAAATTAATTAAAATTAATTCTCTAAACTTTTCAGAGCAACTATATGATTTGGCATAACACCAATATAAAATGCTGTATGAACAATATAAGTAATTAATTGAAACATTATAATGGAGAAAAGTATAAAATGGATCATTATTCTTTTATACATATGATAGCAACACATTATTATGTTTTAAATTGTTTACTAACTGTACAATCCTATGCATCTTTACTTGGGAAGAAGATTCCATTGTCTCTAATGAAACTTACTCACTAGTAAGTGTGTATAGGATTACAGCTTTGCACATTAACAACATGAAAAATCGAAAGCAGAAGGAGCATTACTTTGAAAATTAATTTTAAAAAACCAGATAAACATCACTATAGCTTAAATAAAATTAACCACAACATGATTTTTCTGTGTCTAGTCCTTTAGTATTTAATAAAGGCAAACTAGTTATATAGTTTATTTCCAGACTGTATACTTATTACACTTGTTGTGTGCTCCTATGTACGTCCATTCAGCCTAGGATAAGCCAACTTACTCAATTCACTAGGACTTTCTTTTAAGTAAGCATGGACATAATTGCACTTTACGCACAATTTTACACACACACACACACCCTTTTACGAGGGCCGTTATGCCTCAAAGGCTTACAAATAGTCTTTGGTTCCACGTCTTTTTGCATAAATTAATTTGGCCACTCCTAGAAGATGCAGTATTGGCTTTTGTAACATTGCAAATAGATATGTTAACATAACCAAATAAGCATAACAAAGGCTTAGCTTGTAACTGCAACTGAAGTATAGCAGTGATAATCAGGCATCATTTTGCAGAAATGTGCTGGTTTATTATAGTTTTGCCACGTACGCACATAGCTGTTTTTAAGGAGGTTGGTGTTGCCAGTGCTTTCCAATTTTTGCTTAAAAATGTATACGATACGTTGAAATATAAGAAGGCTCCTCTTTCTTATCTTGACAAGGTGTTAATGACATCATAGAGGAACACGAGCAGTCAAGTTCACCATGAAAGTGGACTTGCCCATCCTCTGTGTCTCTCAGCTGCTGGCTGAAGTCAGACGTTCCACTTCGTATCTTATTTCTTGGGTGCTCCTGTTACCTGCAGTCAACACACATTGTGCACCTATTTCATGTTTTCTTCCTTGATGGATTTACAAGTATTGTCTTTTCCTTCTATTTTGAGGCAAAATATACCAAAAATGTTCTTGATAGTTGAGATTGCTCCCAGTAGGCCAGAATGTAGGCGGTGTATTAGCAGAGAAGCCAAAGTTCTTTTTCACAGACCAGAGGAGAAGAGAAATGGGGTGATGGAGAGTCTGAGATGAAAGGGCAGTGTATGAAGTCTTAGCTGCTGCCGTGGTAGCAAAATCCCAGCCTGAGTTTCTGTGTATATTTGAGTGCAACTAAGTCCAAAAAGAAATAGATTCTTAAATTAGCATGTTGAATTAAAGATCCATTCCTAAACATAATTATTTGGAAATACATATTATTGAAATCAGTGTAACATGTGGGTAAATACGTTTCACATCAGAATGTTAAACTTGAAATGCAGACATGTTTTTGCTGAGAAGACTTAAGATACAATCCACAGATTGCATCCTCCAAATCTGCTCTTCTCTTTCTCCACTACGCTTATTTTGTCATGCTCTCCCTATTGCAAGCAGAATAAATGTGGAATGTTAAAAGGACTGCATTAATAAAAAGCATTGTATGACATTTTGGATGATTCTTTATGTTTTAAAAATTAGAGATAAATGCAACAAGCTGCTAAGTGTGTTTGTAAGTACTATAACATAATACACTGTTAAAAATACGATGTGCATGTAGTTGTATAGTCCATAAATAACGTGTTTGTGATGAAATAAAAACACATGGATGTGGCTGCAGATATTCACTGCACTTCTAATTCCTGCATGAGTAAGTAAGTTGTATTATACAAGCCCATGGGGCCAGAAAAATATCCACATTCCTTGTTATTACAGTCATCTGTAATAGAGACATTTAAAAACACTAAATGCTAAACACTACAACAGGCTGTACAAATATAGCATGTTGGGCCTGTTTCTACTAACATTCTCACATGAAAGGGCTGTCTCCATAATAGTGCCCCACTTGTGGAACTCACTTCCACCTGAGGTTTGGCTGGCGTCATCTCTTTATTCCTTCAGACACCAACTAAAAACATTTCTTTTTTGCAGCCATTTTGGCAAGCGAGTTGCCTTGTTTAATGGTTTTAACAGTTTTAGGTTGTTATTTTGCTGCTGCCATATTATTATAATTTTAGCACCAGATTTTAATTTAATTTTAGTATATATAAATTTACCTTCTTTAATAAAATTAATTTAAATAATTCAATATTTATTTTTATTATTTATTTATTTATTTATTTATTAAAACATTTTTATGCCGCCCCATTCGCCGAAGCCTCGGGGCGGCTTACAACATAATATATTGATCATTCCATTTTATATCCATTTTTATTTATTTTTATTTATTGATTTGAACTTTCTTGTTTTTTATATTGAGAGTTGTTTAACTATATTATGAATTTTATTATTTTAATTGTTGTATAATATGTTGTGAGCTGCCCAGAGAAGCTTATGACAGCATACAAGACAAACAAATGCTTCTAAATGTTTGCTTATTATTTACAGCATTTGTAAACTGCCACCAGGCTAGGACTGAGGTAGCTGAAACTAAAGTCAGCCTGTAAACACTTTGTAGTCTGCAGTTGTAGTTGTGGAAACAAGCTGAAAAGCAAGCAAGCAGAAGGCTTGTCTCCTAATATTTAATACCAGGCCCAGGTCTTCATGTGCCTGCCAACAGGTTTCATGTGCAGGCATATTTCTTTGTGTGCTTGAATGATGCTCAGGCAACTGTACTATGGCTCAGGGAACCAAGATTTAGGGTGGATGCGAAGTACTTCCTGATGGTTATGTCCCTGAGGGTATGGAATGGGCTTCCACGGGAAGTGGTTGAAGCCCCATTGGTGAGAGTGTTCAAGGACAGGCTAGACATGCACATGGTAGGCATGTCATGAGTGGAGCTGGCTGGAGCGGGGGGTCAGACTAGATGGCCCAGGAGACCCCTTCTGACTCACTCTGTTTCTATGTTTCTATGTTACTATAAACTTTGGGGGGGTGGGGGAGAATTGATTCTCTGGACATGTGGGAAATTGCCAACTTCTATTAGAGGTAATATATTTATTCCATCATATAACATGCCTTTTCACTTTTCTGTTTTCACAGGAAGAATATTTAGCAACCGACGATATACTTGTAGACTTCTTTAATGAATTCTTGAGTCTTCCAGTAAGTAAATTTTTTCTCAAACACTTGCTGTGATTATCAAGGTAATTGGACCAAAATGATTGTGTGGGATAACAGTCGAACATACATATTCTGAAAGTGGAATAGGTTAGTTGTCTAGTACCTCCTGCTTGTCTCCATCTCTTTGCAGAGGCTAAACCACGTTTCCAAAGTGTGAGCACATGCAGTTGCTCAGGGAAGTCACACAGAAAGCAGTCCTCCAAGAAAAAAATTGACTGTGTAAGAATTATCTCATGCAGAAAGCCCCAGTGGGTTTCTAGGCTGAAAGAACAATGTTACATTGCATGTTGAAGTACGAAAATGGAAAGTGACTGTTGAGAGATCCTGACCTCATCATAATTTGATTTTCTCAAGAGAGTTTTCTCTCTTCAACATTAATACGGTCAATGTGAGCATTTTATATTTCCAGTTTTACACTGTTGCAGTAAGAATGTGACAACCCTGTTACAAAACTATTCAGTTTGGGTTTGTTGTGCTTATGCAGCTGTTGCTTAGAAACAGGACCCAGGTATAAGTATTCGTTATGTAAGCAAGAGGTTAAATTAAAGAATTGCATGCAACTTGGTGACACTTGACCCCAAGAAGCATGTGCTGAATGAGAAGAAGTGCCTCAATTAACATCTGCCAAATTTAACTTGCAAATGGGAGTAGAAGCAACCCTTCATAGGAATTACATCAAATCGAGACACTCTTTCATAGGAATTATGACTTATAACATAGGGATACTGGAGACATTTCCATTTTTGCAAAATTTGATAGGAACTGACCTGATTTATGTCTTTTGCACTCTACTGCAGACCAGAACATACTTACCATTCAGATTTTGCAATTTTCTTAAGTTTGCATTCTCTCATCTCAAAAATCACTTTCAAAATGGATTGAAAAATTTGTATTTTTAGATAAAATATTAGAAATCTGATATTGAATTTTGTTTGTAAGCTATCCAGAGATGCATACTGATTCAATGGGTTAGAAATATCCCAAATAAGAATAAGAAAATGAGAAATGTGTATTTTGTGAGAAAATATGTTCAGAAATTTGTATTTAAATATGAATAGTGTGTGTGTATATGTGTGTGTATGTGTGTGTGTGTGTGTGTAAATAATGTAAATTAATGCAGAATGGGACAAAACAGGCTTACAAAAGAACAAAATTGGCATGGTCCAGAAATATGTTGATCTCTGCACCTCTAATATCAGATCTTTGAAGCTGCATTCCTTGGGTGGTCAAATACTTTCAAAGTTAAATTTAAGGTATTGGTGAAATCTGTAAGGTTCATAGGGCAGTATCCCAGCTTGCTATGGAGGCCCACCACTAGTGCAACAGGAACCAGAAGTTCCTTGAGCAACAGAAGATGTGCTGAAACCCCAATTTCTGCAACATAGTAGGTCAGTGGAACTCAGAGAAAGGAGCTCTGATAACCTTCTCCTTTCCAGAAAGAAGCATTTTTGCTAATTTCAGGGGTTGTTTCAGGAACTGAACTGACCAATAATTGTTGCATTATTGGTCAGTTTCATTGGAGCAACAGAATTAACAGAGGTGTCACAGTAATGTCGGATACTGCCCATCATTTGTAGTGCTCAGATGGCAATTAGTATTAAAATGATGGCTAGGAGTATAATATAGATTACTTCTATTTCTTGAGGGGTCTGTTGTATTGTGTGCATGTCTGTGAAACTTTGTTGTAGGAAACAAGGGCATAGATTGTATAGATGATCATTAGGATATGGCCATAGCAGTTAAGAGACCTTCCATGACTGGAGAAGCTGCATCTTGGGAAATGAAGTGCATGGTTGCCACTGAAAAACAGCAACCTTGCATTTCCTCCCTCTCTCTCTTGAAGTAATTGTTTACTAACAAAAATACATGATGGCAGTGTTGAGTTTCCCATAATTCCTAAGTGGTAGCCAGAGCTTTAGTTTGAGTGAAAACTTCCTAGAACTCATCTCTGGAACCAATTTAGAAGGGAGGGATTAATTATGGACAATGTGAAGTATTATAGGGCTGCCTTATCCATTCTAAGTCCTTCCAGATGTTTTGGACTAAACCGTCCACCCTCCTTGACCATTGGCTTTCCTGCCTGGGGCTAGCAGAAGTTTCAGTTCAAAGGACGTGGAGGGACTCAGGTAGGAAAAGGACTGTTAGAGTGCCCCTGAGCATGTGCAGAGTACATTTTCATCACTACTGGGTAAGTGCAAATAGCCCTTGTGTAGCTAGAATCTGAGGCAACAGGACTCCTAAGTCAGAAAGTGTAATTTGATTCTCATCACTATCCTTTGAATGAATTAAAAATTGTCTGCACTTCTAGAATGGTTTTCAGAGTTTGCTTCTGGCTTCAAACTATGATAGTCACTTAGAAATGGTTTAGAAATAGTTTTGTGAATGAGTTCCAACCACATACCACACACAGCAGCTTTCTGGATGCTTACACAGCCAATCTGTATGTAGAACTTTGTTTAACTCCCTTGAGATCTCGGCACAGTTGTTACCCAGGATGTTTGCTGTTCCTATTGTATATCTCTTGTGTGAAATTTCTATTTCCAAAGCACATTACTTCCATTATATAAGATACATAATCATGGTCTTGCCCCAGTCATGCCATAGAGCTCCTCTTATGTAAGGGTGGGTTAAGCCCTTACGATCAGTGCAAATTTATTCCCACCTTCCCTTGATAGGATAGTTACATTCCCCAAACTGTTAACCAGGTGATCAGCAGTGTATATCCAGTACTCTGAGAGGCTAAATGCGGAAAAAAAATCTTTCATGCATTTGGAGCCCAATTCAGAAAAGTGAAGCCAGTTGTTGGAGTAAGGCATGTGCCTTTGATTAACTTAGTAGTTTGGCGCTAAGCACATTGGCGAAGGCAATTGGTTCTTTCATTCCATTTCTGTATATACTGTGTAAGTGATTGGTGGTCAAGCATCCAAAATGACAATACAATTTATATTTAAAACATTGTTATTGGCATCTGTATTTCTACATTAAGAGAACCAGATGTTTTCAATTTAGCTAATTGGAATGCATGTTGGAAAATGGGTCCTTGGGCTCCATTGCTAGAGGCTGAATTAAAAATAGATACAAGTGATTAATTAATGTTATCCTTGGTTAGATTTCTGTGTAAATATTGTACAACTAAAATTATCTGGTGTCCAATAGTTACAGATTGTGGAATTTATGTGCTTCATTTACATGTTCATATAAGCTAGGAAAGGTTCAATGATTTGGAATTAAAAGCTCATTCTCTTTTGAAAAAAAAGTATTTCCTCCTCTTTCAATAAGAACAAGAAACTTTGGACTGAAAATTCATATTTATACATTGCTAAGGCTACATTAGGGATGCAGGTGGCACAGTGGTTTAAACTGCTGTGCTGCTGGGCTGGTTGATCGAAAGGTCACCGGTTTGAATCTGCACAGTTCCCGTTGCTCTGACTCAGCTCCTGCCAACCTTGCAGTTCGAAAGCATGCAAATACAAGTAGATAAAAAGGTATCACTTTAGTGGGCAGGTAACAGTGTTCCACGCACCTCGGTGTTTAGTCATGCCAGCCACATGACCACGGAGACTGTCTGTGGACAAATGCTGGCTCCCTCGGCTAGGAAATGGAGATGAGCACCACACCCTAGAGTCAGACATGACTGGACTTAATGTCAAGGGGAAACCTTTACCTTTAAGGCTACATAGTAAGGCTTTTTCCCACTGACAATAAGCATCAAAATCACATATATGTGACATATAAGTGTGTTAAGTTGGAAGCAATGCTCTGGATATCAAATCTGAGCCTGGGAGTGGGGCACAGGTAAAACACAGTTGGAGCCAGCAGGCACAATTTTGCATTTTTTATAACAGCAGACCTATAAATGGTCAGGATTCAGGCTTTTCAAAAGTATGGTTTCTCACTATTTTTGGAGGAACAGAGTAGCATCTGACCTGGTGATTGCTGCAAGCCACTTGTTTCAGGATGGAAGTGAAATAGCAGAAGGAGCATGGAAGAGTATGATAACTGAACATGTGTGAATCTGCACAGAGGAGTATAGGATGAAGTGGACACATAACCAGTAAGATTTCTAAATTGGCTGTGAGTAGTTGATGATCAGAGCAATTCTGTGGTCCCTGGACAGTATTTAGGGGCCGTAGGACTGTTTGGAAACCCTGCTCCAAGTTCAGAAAACTTCTCTGACCTTAGGGATGAGACTCTGCACTCAGAGCTGACACAGAAAGAATCGTTCTGGACATTGTAAAAGTGACCTCAGACATTTAGGGGTCAGGGAAGAAGGAAAGTGGCACTGCCAAGATAAAATGTATCCTGCCAACACCTCAGACTCTTCCCTCCCGCTCAAGAGCACTATGCTTAGATGGCTGAAATAATCCAACATGGAGGTGTCCTTTGCTCCTCTTCTCCCACCCCAACACCTGTAATGCTCTGAATTAACCGGTTTGCATCATTAATGCATTTATGGGAAGAGGAACAAATTCAGAACACTGAAAAACACAAAGTCCTGTGCTGTCAGTGAAAAAGCTATAATTAGGTAGAGGGGGAACTTCAAAACAGAATTAAAGATTTAATAGATTAAATTGATATTTAATTTGTGTTGTCATTGCAGATTTTCACACAACCAATTAAATTTAATCCTGATTTTGGACTTTTTGAATTTACTACGGACATCCCACAATGTATGGAAAATCAACTGAAAAAGATGCTGTACGAACAGAAACCTCGGAATCCCGTTTATGATGTTATACGGCTGGCAAAACCAGAAAGTCCCATTTCTAAAGAACTCAGCCCCACTCCTCTTCCTGCATTCTTAAGTTTTGACCCTACTTATGCAGTAACAGTAAGAATATGTTTTCTTGATTATTATCTCCTCTCCTCTTCATCTTTTTGCATGTAAGAAGCATTTACACGAGAGTGGAGAATATGTGATCCTCCAGATTTTGTTGGACTGCAACTCCTAGGAGCTTAGACGACATAGCCAGTGATGAGCAATGATGGGAATTTACAGTCCAACAGCCAATGGAGAGTCACATGCTCCACATCTCTGATTTACATTATAACAAGTGTTATATATACATAATTCAAAAACTGTGATCAAATAACTATGGTTTACTGTTTAGTCAGTAGGATGAATGAACAGCTTTTGACCAATTAAAAAGATTCCTCTGTTTAATTAAGGAGGTTAAGAAGTTGTTAAGTACAAGTAGTTACAAAAACTGAGTGGCAGGCACCATGCTAGAAGAAACACATGGGAAGGAAATGTCTTAAGTAAAGACTGCACCCGCTGTGGCACGTGTGTGCAATGTCTAAAAAAACTGGATGCTGCTCCTGCATCAGAACTATGTTTTTTTTTAATCTTTAAAAAGATTTAAAACTCTGAGCATGAATTAACTCCATATGATAGTATTCATTTCTGTCATGTGTGAATCAGGAGTGGGATCATGTCATCAATGGGATGGAAACACTCATCCCTACCTTCCATGAGTTAATCTAAAGATTTGAACTGAAATCTATATCCAATGTGACATGAGTGTAGGTCCACTCTCACAACTGGACTTTCCATTCTCCCCCACCTTGTGTACCCCAAATTTGTTCTGGGGAGGCCCCCAACCCTTTGTAGCAGATTTGTGGGTGTTCAGTTGGCTGCAGGGATCGTATCTTGCAAAAATATTGTCAGTTCCACTGGCAGACAGACACTATCTGATACAGTTCACGGCCTACATGTTACATCATCCACATGAATACTCTATATGTATGACTGGGGACTCTGTCTTCTTTAGTTTTCCCACTCATGTAGACATAGCCTACATTCATACAATTATGTATGTTCTGTAGACCCATCTTCCACAACCTGCTTTCTCTCCAGATGTGTTAGAGTGTAACTTGCATAATTCCCAACCACCATGGCTATCAGCTAACACATTTGGAAGGGAAGCAAGTTGAAGCAAGTTGGCACAGGCTCTGTTGGACATGGAACCATAGGGCAGAGCCTTCAAGCCTTCATGAACATTTGTTAAAGAAACAGGATTAGGATGGTAGTCCTTATACTGTAAGTAACAGTAATAACAGCAATGCAAGTGAAGGTAGTAAACATGCTTGGGATTATGCTGTTACGAAAATTAATGCTCTACTGTGGAAGTACTCTTCCTTATGATAAATATGACTTGGGCCTATCATCTTTTCTCATGAATTCTTCAGGCAAAAGACTAGATTTATTTCAAATAAATTACTAAATTATTTTTCTCTATCCAGAAAAATAAGCCAAAATAAAGAAGCCGTCTTCAGTCTTTACAGAAACTATTTGCAGTCAGCCATAAGAGGCACATTCCTCCAGAACATGAATCACCACATCTTGCCTGTGCAAAATGTATTTTGTGATCCATGGCCAGCATCAGCATTCTTATTGTGAGGCACTGTTTACAGCAAAGCTTTGTTGCCTCCTCCACAGATGTTCATGAGTACAAGAGAACATCATTCCTACACAACCCATCAGAAACAGATGAAGGTTGCCAAGTAGCAGTACTTCTTGGATTTCACCCTTTCTTTTGGAATCAATTATTGCTGTTCTGGATGGGTTCTGGCAAACAAAACTTCACAGAAAGATTGTGCCTTCATGTAAATGCTCTGATATGACATTGCCAAGTGGTAACTTCTTAACTCACCCTACATTTCAAGGACTACAATGGCACTGGATCATCATCCAGTGCACTTAGCTCAGTTTTTATTTTATTAGGTGATTCTAGGCAAGGTTCTTATTGCACCATTGCCCTGTTTCATTCACCAAATTTTAAAGGAAGGCCAGGCAACATCTTCCTCTTATAATCATCCCGAGTTTTTCTACTACGACTTCCATTTTCTTTCTTGCCACAGAAAAGCTGAAGAGAAGATGACAGAACTGTGCACTGCCTTCAGTTTTGCTGATTCTGAGAGTCTGAAGCAGTGCCCTGTACTGCTAAACAGCTCCTGCTCTTTCTGTTGTGCTAGAGGGACCCGACAGCAGCAGAACAGGAAGATAGCACTTGCTAAAGCAACCCAGGAAGCAAGTGGAAGAACTGCAACAGTCAGCAGAAATTCCTTCTGGCAACAAGGAATTTGACTCATTTCTTTAGGGATTCAGTAGCTTCCCATTGCACGAGTGATGGGTTGCACTAATGCTTGTGCTAGGGGCGTGCGAAGAATCCTATGGGGGATGGAAATTTGATGGAATTTCACAATTAATCTCCCCCAAGATTTTACTTTGTCAGCCCTGTCCTTGTGTTGACTCACCATGGTACAAGTAAAACCAGCTTGCTGACAAGCAACTCTAAGATGGGCTGCAGTTTGCACATTAAAAACCTAAGGACGTTTTTGCAAATCATGCAGATTTCACTAATCAACCATGGAAAACAAAGGCATTCTAGGTTGATTTGTGCAAATCACATGATTTATGAAAATGTCCTTAGTGTTTTTAAAAATCATAGCCATTCATGAAAGACCCTCTCCACCACCACCACAAGAGTCTGATTTAACCTGCTTCCTGAATCTACTGAGCTCAAACGAACCAGATTTTCCAGTGTCAGCACATCCTTAGCTTAGGAAGTACCCAGGGTTTCTAGAAACCTAGTCTGAAAATCAAAATCTAATAATACAAGTAAATCTACATGTTAACTACATGGCAAAGGAAATTTGACATGAAGGAAAATTTACATAGATTTTCTTTTGTTAGTGTCTGGACCGAGAACAGGCCATTGAGTGGATTAAAAAGGAAAGATTGCCAGCATTTTTAGAGAGCGATTGTTACTTTGAATACAGGTACTACAACTTCTAATCAGAATACAAATTGTTAAAACTGTATTTTTTGTCATACACAAACCCAAACTTGCCAGAAATCTTTGGCCAAACTTACATAAATTGAGCTACTTCTGTGAATAACAATAAAACTGATGCTAATTTTATAGCCTGTCACTCTGAATTTTTTACAAGCAATAATAATATATGATCCATATTTAATCACTTTGCTGGTATGAATGTGTGTAAACAAGGGATCTCAGCATAGTGTTCCTACAGAAAACTCTTTTGCCTAATCTCTTGTATATCTATCTATGTGCCTGTCTTAAAAACCCATATTAGAACAGCATCCAAAGCTTAATGTAGACATAACACTCACACTCTTTTATCCAGGGTTAGGAATGTACCCTTTAGTCATACATTTCTTTCTCTGGCTTCTCTCATTTTGTGTTAAATCCCTTACCACAGCTAACATGTGGCTAATGGTTATGTCTTCCCATGTTTATTGCTAATCAGAAGCTGTTCTTAATGATAGGATTTGAAACCAGCATGAAACCTTGGTTCAGGGTTAACCCTAATTAGACTTAATCCTGGTTGATAAGGGGAAGATGAGGAAATTTGTGCAAGAGGTGGTAGAGAGCCTCTTCTTAAAGAATCATGTTCCTCCAGCCAGTCTTAGTTATGGGCTTGAGACTCTCACATCCAGGAAGTATAATTCTTTCTCCTCTCCTCCTCATCTTGCTGTCAGTTAAAACAGAAGTCCTCTTTGTTCCTGCAGATGGGAAGAGGGAATGACAGGATGGCAAGGATCAAACGGGGCAGGCACTTCTTCCTCTTTTGCAGTTGTACAACTTTTAAGGGTGCAGTCCTATGCACGCTTAGACAGAAACAGCTCCTACAACTTCCAGAATTTCCTAACCAGCACAGGAACGGTAGGACTTGTTTCTGTTTAAGATTAAAGCAGGCTTAAAGCAGCTTTTTGCCTGGGACCCTCCAGAGGTGTTGGACTTCGACTTCTAGCGAGCACGCATTAAAGTCGGCCTGCTTTCTGGCGGTGTTCTGAGTTTGTTGCAATGCCTTCAGAACGTTTCATACTCAGAATCGGTGGAAAGAATTAGAATCATGTATTGGTAAAAATGTCTCGGTTTGAACACTAATGCTCTCCTTGATGTTAATGGTAAAGATAGGTGTAGACCTTACGATATTTGTCACCTCTCTGTAGGTTAGCTAAACTAATATCACAGGTGGAGTGGAGCAAAACTGGCATGAATTTTATGATAGATAAAGCATATTATCCTTGGTTCAGTAAAAGCCCACCACCTCCAGAGATCCGTGAAGAAAATGAAGATGACTTGATTATGAAGAAGTTCTATGTCTCTCTTGGCCAGGTAACACAAACTCAGTGATTTGAACCCGGAAACTCTATAGGTTTACTCTATATAAATAAGACAGAGTAGACATGGAATATGAAGGCATGCTTTTTAACATTATATTTTTATTTCATCATTCCTCCAAAAAGTTCATATGTGCCCTTCCCTTAATTTTATTCTGGCAAAAGTCTGTGAGGTAAGCTAGGCTGAGAAATATGTTGACCTAATGATACCTAAGAAACTGCATGGCTGAGTGTTGATTTGAACTCAGACCTCCCTAGTCTAATACTCTACCCCATAGGTGAGAATTGTCAGTTCATAGGCCAGATGTAGTCTAATGAGCCTTGGATCTGGCCCATGTCTTCCAATTTTCAATCAGACATGGCAGTTGGACTAACAGAAAAGGATCCCATTTGTGCCCATCTGCTGCATGGGTCGGAGAGAAGGAAAGAAAGGGTGTCTGTGAGAGAAAGTAGCAGAAAGAAAATTAGTGACTTATCACCAGCCATGGCCCCACCCTTTTAACACTGGCCCATCTACTTTCTTGCAGAAGATTCCCTTGAGAGAATGTGGCCCAAAATACTAAAAATGTTCCCTGTTCATTTTCTAGTCACCAGCAGCACATGGGCTGGGTTCAGACAACACAATCCATACTCAAGGATTGAATATGGGTTGCATGTAAATTGGGTTGTTGTTGAAATGCAGGTAGTTGTGTTGTCCAAACCTTGTCAAGATAGTAAACCATGATGAACACACCTCAGTTCACAATCCAACAACAAACCATGGGTTTTCTTTATGAGTGGTTTGTGGTTAGCGAGTCATCTGTACCATCTTTAGTCCAGATGGGTTCAGTGAACATGATAATCTGCATTTCAACAACCCATGCTTAAGCCGTACTCAACCATTGAGTGTAGGTTTATTCTGTTGTCCGAAGCCAACCACAGGCTTCATACAGGTTATTTGTATAGAATGCAAGTTACTCTCCTTTCCTCTGGCAGTCTCTTGGGCATTTAAATAGCTGCGTGATAGTTACAAGGGATTGGATTAGGTTTTGCTGACATGGAGATGCAGTGGTGAGGAAAGCTTAAACTTCTTTTAGACATGCAGATGTCAAAAGCACAAGAGCCCTGAAATAATAAAATTGATGAACCCTAATTGAGATTAAGGACATTAGGCTGAATACCTATCACTGGTGCACATAACATGTTGGGTTGCAATTAAGCAGAATATTACAAATATTCATGAGTGAAGGTCAGCAAAATACAGATTTATGTTTTTTTCTGATAGAAGCTATAAAAGTAGCAGTATTCACTGCCATGTTTAGCTGTTTAATGGTCTAGTGGGAACATACAGTGCCTTGCAGAAGTATTCACTGTTCCTCTGACTTTTCCACAGATTGTTGTATTATAACCTGGAATTGAAATATCTTTAATTAGTATTTTGCTGACAGAGCTGGAGTGGCATTGCCAGGGAAATGGGCAAATATTGCAGTATCCAGATGTGCAAAGCAGATACAGTCTTACCCTAGATGACTTGCAAGTGTAATTACTGCCGAAGGTCCATCTACCACGTATTGATTCAGGAGGTTGTTATGCAAGCAGCAAGTGTCAGCTTTTTTTTTCACTTCACTTTTGCACCACAGTAAAATATTTTGCACCTTCACAATGTTGACTATCCTGTGTGCATCAACTGATAACCATGCCAGTTAAATACATTTTAATTCTAGGTTGAGACACAACCAAATGTGAGGAAGGTAGATGCTTCTGCAAGGCATTGTAGTGTATTTACATGATTTAACATTAGTTCTTCCTATTGTTCTGCAGCTTTCTACATTTTGGTCCCTTAGTTATATAACCGTTCATTGTGATTGGTCAGAAATGTTTCAAAGGAAAGAAGAATTCTTCTCTCAAAATTATAACTTCAACCAAAGGAACATGATCAAAGACTTAAAGTGTAGAAAACTTATACTGTCAAATGTTTTATTTAATAGGCTACTGTTACCCAGACAAAGGATTGGTTTACTCTAGCCAAGCAAAGTGAACACACGATTACTACAAATGCTATTACTTGTCCTCTGACATCTTCCCATGTTCGCTTTTCTGATGATTCTTCAAAGTCATCTTCTTCATATCTAGGTAATGTAAATAAGAAGAATAAGTATTATGCCTATTGTTCAATGAGGCTTGTCCCAAGTTAGTGTGTATAGGGTTGCCGGCCATCAGTAGTATGTACGCTTACTTTCTTACAGAACAGTTCTGTGCTTATTTGTTCAGAAGTACACTCCATTGGGTTGAGTGAGGACTGACTCTCATGTAAGTATGTATACGATTGCAGCCTTAGGCAACCTCCAAAAATATAAAATGTGTTCTCAGATACTGCCTGAGAAAGGAGGTGACAGAAGCTGAATTTTCCACCCACTCCCTGCCAGTCTGCATTTGCTTCTGAAATGCTCCCTTGATCTTGGGACTCTTCTGAGTGGAGTGGGCCTGGTGCCAAAAGAAGAAAAAGAAAGTGTGGGTGTCAGATGAGCCTATCTGGATAGATTATTCTATGAATGGAGCACCACAACTGAAAGGGTTGTTTGTCTGATTGCCAAAACAGGAACAACAAGAGAAAAGCCTCTGAAAATGACTGAACATTTAGGCAAATTTGTATAGAAAAGATTTTTTTTTGTATCAAATGTCTATGAGTCAATGATGTGATGTGGCTGCAGAAAAGAATGCTGTTTTGGGCTGTATTAATGGAAGTATCACTTCCAAATCACATGAAGTACTAGTTCCCCTCTACTTAGCACTGCTTAGTTTAAGAAAGATGCAAACACATTGGAAAGTGTTCAGAGAAGGGCAAGAAAGATATTAAGAAAGCCCAGTGAGGAGAGACTAAAGAATGGAGCATATTCAACTTTAAGGAGAAGACAAAGGATTGGGCATATTTCACTTTAAGGAGAAGACAAAGGAAGATGTGACAGCACTTTTTAAGAACTTGAAAAGTTGTCACACTGAGGAGGATCAGGATCTGTTTTCAATATCTCTGAATGCAGGAAATTGAATAATAGGCTCAAACAGGTTTCAGCTGAACATCAGGAAAGCCTTACTGACCTTTAGTGCATACTATAATGGAGCCCATTACCCAGGGAGGTTGTGGGCTCTGCTATGCTGGAAGCATTCAACTTGCAACTGGACAGCTGCCTGTTAGGATTGCTTTAACTCTGAGTCCTGCATTGAGTGGGAAGGTTGGACCTGACGGTCTTCTTGGTCCCTTTCAGTTCTACTATTATATTATTCTGTGTGTGTGCTGGGGAGGAATGTATTTTGTTTCCAAGAAGAATTGTGTGCCCTGCCACCAGCCCAACAGCTGTTTGGTGGAGGCCATGCTATGGAGGCAGGAGACCCAGTGTTAGCTGCAAAACTTTTGTTGATGATCCATGTGCAGCCTGCAGGCAGTATGTCCTCCATGCCTGCCTTAAAGGTAAAGACCAGTATTTTGAGTTGTACTCAGAAATGGACCAGCAACCAATGAAGCTGTTCAAATGGCAAGACTCCCCTTGGCTGGTCCTCATAAGCAGTATCTTGGACCAATTTAATTTAACTAGAAGATTTTAAGGCAACTCCTTTGCATACCCTCTTAGTTTGCATGAATTTTTTTGATAATGCTTATGCCAAAATGGGAAGGATTTAGATGGTTGTCAATTCAAAAGTCTGTGAAAATACTAGGGCAGATGGCATTAGTTTTGAGGATATGATATTTGTAATGATTTTAATGTTTAGTTTAATTTACATTAGATTTCAGGTCTCAAGAAGAGATGCATAATATTTCTTCTACCATTCTGAATGCCATTGTTTACAATGCTCATTTAGGTAAGTGACATTCAGAGTGAAAAAAGTATAAAGGGGGAAGGAGAAAAAGAGTGCATGACATTCCCTTAATAGGAAGAGGTTCATGAAAAAGCCATTTACACTATTAGTGTCCTCATGACAACAGCAAACTGAAAGCTCAATAAACTTCTTGCAGTGGATGGTTTTTCTTCAAATATGCTAGTTGAACAGTGGGTGAGCACACAGGCACAGAGAAGCAACATAGCACTCATTCCCTCCACCCCCTTTTTAATGCAGCACTCATTTCAAAGCAACATCACTCCAGCACACTAATGTCTTGACAAGCTGTTTTGGATTGTGAGAAACCACATAATAATAACCTCTGCTAACAAGTTACACATGAAGAATCTTTCTTCCACACTTAAGCTCAAGAAGCATCCCAGATAGTTGAAATGTTGCACATATTTCTGTTCCTTGAAGTAGCCACCATAGGCCATTAGTGATCATTCTGCGGGCCATGAACACGTGCTGTGTTGTACCAAGGCCTTCAAGTACCACCCTGAACCTGATGTCCTTCAGATGCATTAGACTATAGCTCCCACCATCCCCAGCTTACATGCTCACTAACCAAACTGTCAGGGGATAGTGGAAGTTGTGGAGGGAATCAGATTGGGAAAGACTTAGACTGGTCTAGAAAAAGTGGAACCTTTGTGCATAAAGAGCATGTTCACTTTGGTGTCTTGGGAAATTTGGGGAATTGATCTTCTCTGGTTTTTAATGCAGAAGCAGATTCTGGGATTAAGAAGAAACACAGCCAGACTGGTTTTCCACTTCTTCAGAAGGCAGCAGCCAGAAGAAGCATAAATGAGGGCTATTCTGTGTCACTTCCTGATACTCCTTCACGCACCATGCTAAGAGCCTATTTAGGTCCAAACTGGGATGCTGTTCCTCAGGAGGAAGCAAGTGAGCAACATCAGGAATCTGCATCTTTTCAGACAGTTGATGAATTTTCATTAGCCTTTGCTCAGTATATACTAAGAAACTCTGTTGCAGTTCTCACTGGGCAACTGCCTGAAGCCAGTCCAACTGATGTCAACTTCAGTAGGGTGTCAAGAGTGTTTATATTTGAGATAGCTGACAGTCAACCTTTCATGGAGGCCCTCCAACAAAACTTTCCACTCCTTGGAGATGATACAGTGGACAAGAAGAGTGAGATCAGTACAAAGTCTGAAAAAGATTATACTGAAAGCAGGGCTTCCTGGTGTGTTAGCCACAAGACCTATGACATTGGTAACAGGCATGAATTTGAAAGGTTCAAGAAATTCATCCGAGGAACTTTGGGTGAAAGATACTGGTGGCTCTGGATAGATATTGAAAGACTGAAGGTCTTGAAGGATCCTAAAAGGCAGAAAAGGTACTTCCTGTTGTTAATACTTACAAATGAGGGTTATATTACATGCTGGCTGGGTTCACATAGCATGGCAAACAACTGTGCACTATTTCCACAGTGCATGGATTTTTGCCTGAAATTATGATCAGATGGTTACACAAGCAGTGTGGTTTCTATACTCCCAGCACCGTTCTTCCAGCCTTGCCATGCAACTGGCAGCCCCCATGAACAAAATCCCCATCCCTCCCTTATTTTTACCTGTGGGCCTCAGCAGCCTCCTCAGGATTGGTCTGCTGCACTCCTGAGGCAGGTTCCCCTTTCCTCCCCCCAAGTGTATCTATGTCTGTAGTGCTTCCAAACTGCACCCACCATCACAGAGATTTATATTCAGGAAACAAAAAATGAACAATTTTGTTGTGATCCCCTCTTCTCTCCACATGTATTTCTGCATGGTGTTCCTATTTCCAAAAGTAAACAGAGAGATGGACACATCATCTGGCCAATAGTGATAAAGCATGTCTGTTGCTAGGATGCAAAAGGCAGTAGAGATTGTAATCTACAGGTGGCCTCTCTTGCCATGAGCCTCATGGTGAAGTGCAGAATCTTAGAATCAACCATGGATCTCTCCATGGTTTCAGGAAACTAATTGTACCATGTAGAAACTCCAGAACTGGGTCTGGATGATACAACAGACCCATAAGGGTAAGATTTCACCATGGTTTCTAATGTCACATGAACATGCCTGGTGTATAGGAGATCGTAACTGTGTCTCTAACTTGAATGTTAATGTGTATGAGGCCCTCATCTAGATGGGGACCTCTGTGCATGGGTAGGTGGGTAAAAGCTTTCCACCAAGCCACTTTTTTCTTTATAGCACTTCATCACATGGGGATTTCTCATGAGTAGGTCTTTCCTTCCCTCTTTTCTACTCCAGCAGATCCAAATGAAGCACAGTCCTTTTGAGAAAGCTTAACAGGTTACAAAACAGTATAAATCAGTGTAGTGTTTTCTTTGGGATGTGACAGGAGCATTTGAACCTGCTCAGTGTCAGCAGTACTGGGCTGGATACACCAATGGAATGCAGAATAGGGCAGCTTCCAATTTTCCTATTCTTAAATCTGACTTTCCTGTATGAGAAGAGTAATCCTATCTTCTAATATATGGGTTGCTATTAATATTATTATTTAAAGATACAGTTTGCAAATGACAGCTACTTGATTAGATGTGAAGAATTTTTTTCAGATATGAATTGATCTGTATTTGTCATATTCTGAGTGAGTGTTTTTCTTCATTCAAGACAGCTTGACAAAATGAAGAAAATCTACCTAATGAGCAATGGAGATTTTTTTCTTACCTTAGAAGTTTTGCAGAAATTACATCTGATGGATGGAGACCAGTGGAACATGGAAAACTTAAGACACATTCAGCCTGAAGTAGTGAAACCTTTGCTTCTCTACTGGTAAGAGTATGAAATATGAAGTAATTCCATCACATTTTTATCTCAATATATGAGCTATTGCTGTGGACAGATGAAGAAAAGAATAAATGTACGCACTTAACCTACAATGGCAAAGTGTGACCTTTTGAAAATATACAATTCCTGTGCAGATATTGAAGGCAGACACATATTCTAAGACTTTCCTCTTCGTGTGTGACATTTGAGGTGAATAAAAGCAAAGCAAAGCAAAACAGGCAAATAATACAGATCTTCAAAATGTATGGCTCAGCAATACCTTTATTAGACTAGCTAAAGTGTTACCAAATGGTGAGCAAGTGCTTAGTTCCCCAGAACTCTTGATTAGATGCTCAGCAAATCAGAGACAAAAATAGCATGTTGTTGAAAAGCACAAAATTCTGCACTTAATTGTGTCCTTAAAATTGAATGTAGGGTCAGACTTACAGCACAATCCTGCACCCCTTTAGAAGTATATTCCAAGAAAATAGCCATTTTATGAGGCTCCAGGTTCTTGTATCTTTGAAGATGCAGCCAGCATGCTTCTTTCTGTGCAGGCTGTGGGGATGGGGAGAGCAGTCTGACCATGGAGACTCAGTACAAGTAGCCATTTTATCAGGTTCCAGTAAAGTTAGATAAGTAGGATATTGCTTCAACTTTTCTGAAAGACCAGCTGCATTCAGTTCTTCAGCTGATACTGAGCAGCAGCCATTTCTCATTTTTATTGTTGATTGTTAAAATTGTTTTGTGCCAATGTGTGTGTCTGCTGTCTGTTTGTAAACTGTTTTTATATTATGTACAAAACCTGTATTTAAGTTTTTAATCTCTGCAAGCCACCCAGTGAGCTTTGCTCGTGGGCAGTATAGAAATGTGATACATGAAATGAATTTCATCCAGCTGCAGCAGAGAAAGATGAGATGGGAAACAAGGACCATTTTGTGCGCTTTGCTGAAAGACTAGCTCCATCAAGATTCTTCTCTGTCTGAACTGTTTTTGAATTGATCATTATCAGAACTGGTATCTTACTTTAAGAATTGGTACCCAAATTTGCTTTTCTCCTCTTCCTTCCTTCTCCATCATGTTCCCCTTTTCCTTTTGTGTTATATCTTTCAGATTATATCTCTGTGAGCAGGGGCAGTTTTGATTTTATTGAATTTTATTTACTAAATTGCTTTGGGAGCTTTTTTAGATGAAGAGCAAGCTAAACAGTCTATTAATAAATAATAAGTGTGTATAGAATTGCAGCCTTTATTGGGTTAAACTATACCAGGCTATTACACAGGTTTCAGGTTACATCTATGACTTCTGAAACAAAGAAATTCACAATGGCCGATGCTGCATTTTTTAAAAGAAGTTTGGGTACTTTATCAATAAGATATGTATATTTGGTTTATTAACCCCACTGCTCAGCCTCAGTGGTCAATAACTTATTCAAGGCAACAGCACCAATGTAACTGCAAACAAAAAATAGGGGCTACTGCATGTTTAGTCCAATAAGTGCAATTACTATTTAATTACCATGTGATGGTACCATATAAAAAGTAGGATGCTTCTAACCTCCAAACTCATAGAATTTTGGGCATTTTGTGACAGATGCAAGAAGAGCAGAAGCGAAGGTTGCCTCCATGCTGCTCCTGTCCTGCAAAAGACTTAGCCAATTTTGGCTAGGTTGTGTGCATGGAATGGGAGAGAAGGCCAAAGAACTACCAGAATATCTTGTATCTTGGGAGTGCTTGTTTCCTCCACTTCCTGTCCCCCTGAACACCATGTAAACCCTCTTTCTGAGGTCATTCTTGCAACCTTGGAGATGCAGCTGGCACTGTCTGTCTGTGCTGGCTGTGGAGGTGGGGAGGGCAATCTGAAAGTGGAGACTCAGCTATAAGATCAGAGCAATTTTTCAGTTTTGTAACTGGGTCTCCCAAATTCCTATGGCCATTTAGATAGAATTGTGCTGCCCTGCTAAGAAATGGCAGCTTTCCTAAGACCATCCAGTGAACAGTGTAACAGCGTCTTTGATATCCATACCTAGCAATCTGTTAACAACAGCGCCATACTTCAGCTTCTGCTCTGGAAATTAATGATGCCATAAAGCACTGGCATGAAGGCATTACTGTGCTAATTAGATGGGAAATCTGCAACTGGATTGGTCAGTGTTTCTGCCTTCACTTTAAGGCAGCTGGTGCAGAACACTGTCATCCAACTGTCAACAGGTATCAACCAGACTTACTCATGTTACACCTGTTTGAGACAGCTGCACTGGCTACCAGTCAGTTTTCAAGCTGAATTCAAGGTGCTGCATTTGAATTAGTTCTTTCTTCTTCAGCTTGTTTATCAGTCTGGCTTTTATCATAGTCTTAGTCCTTAACTGTTTTAAGCTATCATTGCCATTTTATGTTGGAAATATTTATATTAAAAAGTGGCCAGATGAATGTTGTAATTCTAAAGAAGTAAATAAATATCTAAAGATTGCTTTAGTCCAGTGGTGGCAAACCTACGGCACATGTGCCACAGTGGGCATGCAGAGCCCTCTCTGTCGGCACGCGAGCCAAGTCGCCCCAGCATCGCCTCAGCAGCCGAGCATTGGATAACAGCGCATATAAAGGCCATGCACATGCTCGGAAAGGAGTAGCGGCGCCAAGTGATGATGTCACAAGCCGCAACTCATTAACTGCGACTTGTCTGAGCTTTTGCATGGCTGGTCAGTGTGCAGCCAAGGATATATATATCTTTGCTTGGACTGTCTGTGAGTTGATTTTTCTAAACTAAAACCTCACTTTTCAGGTTTTATTGCAGTGTTGGCACTTTGCGATAAATAATTGGGTTTTGGATTGCAGTTTGGGTACTTGGTCTCTAAAAGGTTTGCCATCACTGGGTTAGGGTTAGAAAAACGAGGTGTCCTGGCATGATTTTGATGGTTGGAATGTGCTTAGAATGGGCAGAAATGATGAGCTGTGCAGAAAAAGCTATTCAAGGAAGGCTATTTCAAAATCGCCCTCGTTCCAATGGAACTTTAGCCCTATATTAGGGTTAGGGGTGTGCACCAGGGCACTTGGTCTCTAAAAGGTTTGCCATCACTGGGTTAGGGTTATAAAAATGAGGTGTCCCGGCATGATTTTGATGGTTGGAATGTGCTTAGAATGGGCAAAAATGATGAGCAGTGCAGAAAAAGCTACCCAAGGAAGGCCCTTTGGCCCTTTGTGATAAATAAGTGGGTTTTGGGTTGCAGTTTGGGCACTCGGTCTATTGGATGGCTGAGGCGCTCCTTCCCAATGAACCCAACAAATCAAGCAGTTGAAGCTAAAGTCCTTTATTCTACAAAATGTTGCAGACACGTTAGCAGGAAACGATGATGATGATAATAATGATGATGATAATGGCACAGTTGTCCTCTCTTTCTGAAAGGGATCGGATTGTGAAACGCTTTTAACTTGCTTGGGCCACTCCTCCTTGGGTGGATCTGACAAACTCCCTCCTCCTTTCTAGCTCCCTTGTCTCTAATTGCCCTAGTCTGCGCGTGCGTCTGCGAGAGCACGCATCTTCTAACCCCCTATCTCCTGGGAGAACGCCAATTGCTGCGTTCTCATGGCCATTGTCTTCACGCTCCCCAACCATTTTCATGGCAGCCACCCGACTGCCCTCCGACCGCATTTCACTATCAGCATCTGCTTGAAGAAAAACTTTGTCAGGGAGTGGGGTGGGGGGGCATTTGTACAACTGGAACCAGATACACATCTTCCTACACTGAATCCGGGTTCCCACAGGAAGCCCCCTTCTCCCCTACTTGCGCCAAAGACTCCTCTGTGTCAGCGGGCACAACACGGTCTCTAAAAGGTTCACCATCAGTACTCTAGTTGGACACTGTCGTGGCAACTTAATTATCACTGCAGCAGGACACTTAATGAAGTACTTCCTGTTTCTTTGTCTGTTTTCTGTTATCACTGTCTATTGGAGGAAAGATAAGGAGCCAAAGATCAATATCGAATGGGAACTTTCTGTGCATTCGAATAGCACTTATGGAACTCTGTTGAAGCTCCCAGTTGCCCAGGTACTTGCATATTATGCAATTAGATTATGCACAACCAGAGCATGTGGTTCTCTTCTGAAGGTGACTGCTCAAGCAACTTCGATTGGTTACTTCTCGTGCATAGTTCAGAACCTCGTCTCAAATAGTGCCATATCTTTTGCACTAGCAGAATTACACGTTTGGATATTGCCTAATATCACAAAGAAAAACAAAACCTGGGTTATTAGTGTGTGTGGAGGTTCATCTCATTAAGCAACCTTGCCCATTTTAGCCACTTTTCCTTCTGTCATCCTCCTAGGGGTCCCAGATTTTGTGTTACTCATACAGCTGCCATACAGACTACAAGTACCAACCTGAAAATCTGGCATTCTCGGCAACAGAAGCCACGCATGGATGTGGATCCTTTCCCACAGATGGTGTCATTGCTACCACTGAGAGCTAAATCTTGCATGCCAAAAATAGCACATCCTGCTTCTCAGGTATGGCTTATATACATGGTGCTTGAGGCAGAACTTTTCTGTATAACTGGCCAAAAAAAGCTATGATAGGATAACCTTGAAGGTATCAGTACAAAGCAGATATGCAGTAAATTAAACATGATCAAATGATTATTTCTGAAATGTTCTTTATTTCCTTCATTATTCTTACTAGGGAGCTGAGATTGGATTGCCACCCTCTCTGTCAAAAGGAGCTGTGGTCCCTATACATTCCCAGAGATCTCCCAGGCTATTATCAGCAGTCATGCCACGAAGTCAAAGTGCTGTACAGGGAGAACCTGATGTTTTAATTAGTTTAGGAGATATTAGCAGCAACCGGTAAGCATTCAAATCACGGCATGAAAAATGTTGTGCAATTTGTTAAGGGGCACAGGCCAACCTTTTAGCACTTTGCTTTGTTCTCTTATGGGTACCTTTAAGACAGAGCAAAAAGAACAGTAGTCAAGAGGATGAATGGAGGGACATGCTTTTTCTATCCCACTGGATATTTGGGAACATCAAATGAAATTGTAGGTCATTGGTAAGATTCAATGTATTTTGAAATTCCACCATTATATTATACAAACAAAGAATGAATAATGTATGTAGATCTCTTTGTTTGGATGAAAATTTTAGTTTAATGAATACTATGTTTCTGATCCAAAAGGATTTGAAGTTAGGCTTGAAAGTATCTAACAAACTGACCAAGGAATTCTCATCAGTCTCATGGCCTTTTCTTCTGTTGATTGGTCCAATGTGCTGGTTCCCCTGTAATCACAACAGAGAGGCTGGGAGCCATTCTCTGGATCACCCATTCTCTTCTCCAGTTTCTTTTTCTCTCATAGTATGAACATCCAAGTGTTCTCTGGTGGGCACCTTTTAAAAAATTGATCCCCAGCCTCAACATTACCTGGAGGCAGCCGGAGGTGGCAAAAAACCACCTTTAAAAATTTCCCACTGTGTTCGGAGTTCCCAGTGTAGCATTCCCAGTGTAGCATTGTCTGGAATTTAAAATAGCACAACCACTCCAGTATCTGCCATTTAAAATTTTGCACAGTGCTCTGCAGCTATCTACATTGGGCATTCTAGAATAGAATGGAGCTCCTTTTGTTTCTGAGGCATTACTGTGATGGTCTTCTCTCATACCACGATTGTTTATCAGGAGGCATGTGTCAAAAATGATGTGCCATTTTCTTAGTGTTTATACTATCTTCTGGTGCAGCACAACTATCTGTAGTGTCATGTCCTATGCTGCTTTTCATTGCTTCCATGGCATTAGAAGTGTGAGGTGGTCATAAAATGAACCTTCTTCTCCGGGATTCCTCCTACTCCCCCAAACTGTATAACGTACACACATCAGTAAAGGTCCCACATTACTTTTATTGGAGGAAATAGAGCTTTTGTGATTGTAGTCTGCTTTATTAACTAGGGGCTCACTTTAAAATCTCCCTCAAGATTTCCTACCAGCCTGCAAAGTCATAGGAACAGTTTCTTCTTGCAATCTCTGTTGTAAGTCAGGAACTCAAGGAAAGGCAATTGCTCATGGAAAAGCATTTGCTTTGCATGCAGAAAGTCCTAATTTAATCTCTGGCATCTCCAGAAAATTTGAACAGAAGACAAGTTAAGACTACCTATTTATCTTGGTGTTTTTGTCCACTGTTTAACC